TAGTAGTAGTAATGTCAGAGAAGGTCCATGTTGGCGGGCGAGGGAATCTGGAGATTCCAGAAGCTGTGCCAAAAGCGTGCTTAGCTTCCATAATCCAAGGAGATGCAAACACTCAGAGCGGAGTTAAATCAGCAAGCTAGAAAATCACGCAAAAGCGCTGATCCCGGGATAAACGTTTCGAGTCTGTGATCAGGTTGCATCCAGCAATCCATCCGTTTAATACTTCATCCAATTCACGGTCGCAGGGGAGCCGGAGCCCGGAGCCTGTCCCGGCAAACAACAAGGCCTTAGATAGGGTACATCCTGGATGGGACACCAGCCCACCAGGAAACATGTGGTCAAAAAGCATATAAGATATCTGTGTTTTTTTAATGTACACAGGAAGAGTTAACTCTCCACTGGATCACTGCTGGAGCTGTGATACGTTACCTGCAGGGGTCTGGGCCCGGTGATGCGCTGAGATGAGGTAAGGCTCACCGAAGCTGGAGCTGGGGGGAGGGGGGGCGGAGGTGCCACGCCCCCTGGCGCTGCCCTGTGATTGGGCGAAGTGTCCGTCGGCAGGGGCTGGAGAGGAAGTGAGGCGTTGGAGGGGGTGGGGCCTTGCAACGTGAGCGCCACATAGGTGCCAGCTAGGACAGTAAAAGAACACAGCTTCAGCTTCAGGAGGCCATGTGCCCTGCGGGGCATCTCTTGCGAGATGGGACAGTGTCGACTTACATTTGATCAGCTTCACTACTTCCTGATGAGACATCGAGGACACCAGGGATCCATTGACCTGCAGAAAGAAATGAGCTCTGGAAACGACATTTCAAACAGGGATCCCTCCTTTAGAAGTATTTATATACCTCTTATATACTTTTTTTTTTAATGTAAAAGTAATAACACTTCCTAACTCCCCCACTCCTTCTTCTGGAGTCATCCCCCAAAAAGTCCTGATTCTTACTCATCTCCTTACCTTGATGATTCGGTCCCCTTCCTGGACCCCTGCCTTCACCGCCGCACCTCCTACCAGAGCAAACAAAAGTGGTATCAGACTGGGACAGGGTCCACCCATGCCCGACCCTGTGCCACTGGTGCCCTGTGCAAGTTCTAGGCATGAGACGGTACAATACAAACACCTGTGTTGTATTGCAAAAACTGGAAACCTAACTCACTGGAAAAGGACAAACATATTTTTGCCAATCACTAGATTTTTCGGAATATGATCCTGCACACAGCCATCAGCAGGGAACAGTGACCTAAAAAAAACCTCTGGTGGCCGAGCGTCAGTGACGTCCTTGAGAGGGACTGCTCTTCACCAAGACTGTGTGCCTTTCGGCAGTGGTCTCAATGGGACACAAGCTTCGCGTCTTCCCAGTCCTCAGAAGCCCCTCAGGGCAGCTGCGCCTACCTCTCATCTCATGTCTCCTCTTTCAATGTTTTGAACTTAAGAGAGGCCAAGCAAGTAAATAACAGAAAATAAACAATAAGTAAAATAAATTGACAATAGTCAGTTAACATGAAAGGATTCTATAACACTTCCTGCGTTCTGAAGACCAGGCTTCTCCTCACAAAATGGCATCTTCAATGAGGTGGGATTTCATTATTGTTGACGTTGAAGCCTCTATGGCTTTTGTGCAAGATTTCTACAGGCTGTCCAGAAATGAAGTTTCGGGCTTCGGATGGAAACCAGCTCTTGCTGGGGAGCCAAGTACGGGAAAAGGTGTGACTCACAACCCATAGCGTCCTTCCAGGGTTTTGTTTACCGAAGGCAGCAGAGAGCCCTGTACCTGGTCTGACATTCTGCACCAGCTTGATCCTCTCTCCGCACACCGTGAACCCGAATCCCAGCTGGTCCCGCTGCACGATCACGCACCGCTGGACCAAACCTGCATCGGGCAAAGACGGCAAGCGTGGGTTAGCGGCTCGGGAGGAATGCGCTGGGTTTGGCGCCATCTGGTGGTTA